AAATCTGATGAAAGAGGTTTCACTTCTCTATTAATAAGTTTTTCCAAAATGTAACAAAGTCTAGTGAAGTATAAATCTTTTCTTACTTTCAATGTATCTCTTCTTTCCTGAAGTTTTCCAATACTTAAGTGACGATCAAGAGCAATAGGACACTCCCAATAACTTATATTTGTTGAAGATTAAGCTATCTAGTATCTTTAGAAAAAAAGTGAATAATACTGCTGTTTTTCTAGACATGGCTATGGGACCGCTGAAGAAATTTTTCAAGGGAAGAGATCACATGATGTGTTTGCAGCTAGAATTAGTTTGCAGGTATCCTGAGCGGTAGATTGCAGGATTGCCTATGCCACAGTTTTCTTATCTTTGTGTTTCCTTTAGTGGGTTACTATGAATTGTTTTACCAGGTATATTAACTACAAAAATGGATACTTCTTTTGATCAGGCCACTTCACAGTGAACTATGATCCTTACTTGTCATTATGACCTAAAGAAAGACTATAACCAATTGATCTTTAATACTGTTGAACTATCTTTATTACCTGAACTTTGAATTATTTGATTTTGATTGCTTTGCTTCATGGCAACTTCTATTAAGTAGTATTCTCAGTTTCTCAGTATTATCCTCTGGGTAGCCATAATAATATGTGGTATTACATGCACCACCTTCTCAAGGACACCCACTTGCTCATATATAGTCATCCTTTGTGCAGTAAACGGTACCATTGCATTTAGAGTAACAAAAACATGAAGAAAGCATAAAGAATCACTCAACTAGTTTGACACTGTGAATTGTAAATTCATTATGAAAAACAAGTCCTATTGTGGTGACAGTGCTAAAGGTTTTGAAATTTTGTATTTTTTATTGTTTATTTCTCTTTAAAAATTAAAAAAAAGGTCTTGAAATTGAGAGACTGACAAAAGGGGGAAACTGTTAAGTTAAATTTGGCCTAAAGCTATCTCAGTGTATAATAGAATACAATCTAACATTTATTTTGTAAATGGACATCTAACTTGACAATGGAGTAGTCCTTTCATACCTATAGTTTCTCCTTCCACAGTTCCAATTCACTGTAATCAACTGTTTCAACTGTGGTCTGAAAATATTGAATGGAAAATTCCAGGAACAAAAAGCTCATAATTTTATTTTATTTTTTCATAACTTTAAATAACTTTTATTACAGTATATTGTTAAAGCTATCTTGTTGCTTATTGTTAGTGCATATTTATTATTGTGCTTAATTTATAAATTAAAGTTTACCATACATAGTTAATATAGAGGAAAAATTGTAATATGGAGCTTGATATTACCCTGGCTTCAAACATATACTAGAGGTTCAGAAATGTATCCCCATAGATAAGGGGAATATTATTGTAGGAATTACATTCTTGTAACAAGTAACCCAGTCTTGACCTGTAATACCAACTAAACCTCAGCCAAACTCCAAGCTGAAAACTGCAAATATAACACTTACAACAAGCTGTAACCAATCAGGTAATTTTTACACATTACTTACATCTGCCTATAAATTCTTTCTGCCCACACTGCAGTGTGAAACTGTCTGGACCTCTCCTGTTTCTGAGGACTGCCTGATTTAGAGTTACTCTTTGCTTAAACAAACTCTCCTAAGTTTAGTTGCCCTAAAGTCTTTCTTTTAGGTTTCCTTTTAGGTTTTTAAGAACTATTTCTATGAATAAAAATTAAAACTTAAATTTAATAGTTTTAATCATTTTCTATAACTTTTAAATGGCATTTGAAAGCATTAAAGCTTCAATGAAAGGCTGATAGGGGCTGCAGAGATAGCCCAGTGGTCTAAGCGCCTGCCTAGGCAAGCACAAGGACCTGGGTTCAATCCCCTGTATCACATGCTCTGCTGGCTCCTCTTGGGCATGGTAAATTGGCCACCAAAATTGGGCATGGTGGTGCATACCTGTAATCCCAGCACTGGGGAGGCTGAAACAGAAGGATCACTGTGAGTCCAAGCTGCATAGTGAGACCCTGTATCAAATGCATAAAATTAAAAATAAATAAATAAAAAGGCTGATAAAACCAGATTTTAGCCAAACATGATAATGCTTACATATCGTTAAAGTAGTAAAATACTTCCACATGCAGTAATTTATGTATTGTCTGTGGTCTGTGACTGCTTTTGCTCTATGACAGTAGAATTGACACAGTATATGTCTCATAAAGCATAGAATATTTTTTATGTGACCCTTGCAGAAAAATATTGTCAATCTCTGGCTGGATTGTTAACAGTGCAGGTACAGATAAATGGGTAAACAGATGATATTTTACAGGCAGAACAGGAACAAGCTTGGTGTGTTTGAGGAAGAAAATAACATTAGTGTGTGGCTGGAACATGAAAAGATCAAGACAATATCATTTTTTTCTATTTTATTTTCCAGTACATCTGTACCTAGCTTTTTTTCAGTAATTAATTCATTTCACAAATTTCCTTTAAACTCTATTCCATGCAACACACTGTATGAGCTGCTACAAACATACATGCAGAGGAAAGCAGCAAGTAATCAATTAAAACCCTTATTTATTAACAGTAAGTACTAAACAAAATTGAGGGTTAAAAGAGGACACTTTATTCAAAGCAAATAAAATAAAGTTCGTTCTATTTGTCTAAAATTTCATGTCACTTTTCTCAATTGCAATTGTTCATAACTTTTCTTCTTTGGTACTAAAATGCAATAACATCATAACAACTAATATTCATTGACACTGCGTGTGCCAGGCATGACCAAGTGCTTTCCACATCTCATCTCATTTAATCTTCATAGTCCTCCAAAATAGATAGCATTCTTGTCCCAATTTGTGGAGTAAGAAATTTAGGGTCAGAGAAGTGAAGCTCTTTGCCAAAATTTTGTGTGTGCTCCTCAAAAGTAGCACTCAGGGAAGCTGCCGTTTTTGCCTTCTCTGCTCTGACTTGCTGATTCCTGACACTGAAATCATTCTTGCTGAATGGAATCACACATCAAAGGCTCTCTTACCAGTACCACGTTAATATTAACCAATATCTAGGCCAGTGTCTTTTTTTTTCAGTACCAGGGATTGAACTGAGGACCTTGTGCTTGCCAGGCAGGTACTTACAGGTACTTGTTCCTGCTGCGCTATCTCCCTGGCCCCTAGGCCAGAGTCTTTGTCTAGAGCACCACTGTTAGAATTCAACATATTCTTTCTTAGTTCAAAGCATGGTTTATTATGGTTTTCACTTGAGCTTGTATTACAGCTTCTGCACTAGGGTCTAGGACTGGATTATCCATATTTGAATCTCCAGTCTGATATTTAACCATTGTGTAATCCTCATAAAATTCCATAACCTAATTGTACCTCAGTTGACTTATCTTTAAAGTAGGGATAATAATATTATCTGCCTTAAATATTCAGTATAAAACATTTAGCAGTGTTTGGCAAATAATACAATTTTAATGATTGATTACTCTTACTAAGACAAGTGGCTTTTTTTCTGACAACAAACATGCTTTATCAATCTCTTGTTTTTTTCTGGGTACTCTAATATCATTCACTCCAATTGATACTGTCATGCTCCTTATCACTGGATGTTGGATTATGCTGTTCGAGCAGTCTGGAGCATTCTTCCTTTTCCTATTTACCTGGCCAACTCCTACTTCTTATTTAAATATAAGGTTATATACTATATCTGTTTTTTGTGTATCGTTTTTTATTTTATTTTTTAGTTTTGGCAATACCAGGGATTGAACACAGGACCTTGCACTTGCCAGGCAAGCGCTTAAGCCACTGAGCTATATCCCCAGCCCCTTGTGTATCATTTTTATTAAGGGCTTATTTATAAAATATGACATATAATAGGCACTTATTAATGTTTATTGCAATAATGAACACCTTTCAGATAAAATCTAGGCTCCTATTATTCATTTATTCCTCTTAACACCAACTCATGCTCTGGCTATAACAGTTTGTCTACTTACTGTTCTAGGCAATTCTTAGTAAATATTCACTAAATATCTATAAATTACACACTATGGCTGGAAAATAAATATGAGAAATAGAAATTTTGCTCTCTCAGTAAGGCATGTGTTCACTGGAAGGCAGAAACATGCTAAAGGTGAAATTATAATCCAGAATAAGTAGTATACTTAAGGCATGTACTAGATCCAATGAGGATATTAGATCTATGGAAAACGAGAATACAAGTTTCTCTGGGAATGACAGAAAATGAATGGCAGAGGAAAGTAACATGTAAACTGAGTAAAAATGATAAACAGCAATATTCTAAATAAAAGTGTGGGAAGAGCACCCTTGGCAGAGAGGATCCTGTGTTAAGCATGTGAAGTAATAATAAAGGCTCTTCAGAGCAGAAGATTTTCCTTCTTCTATTATGATCTCTACAAACCAATTTCTTTATTATGTTTTTGAGATTAGAGCAACACTTTTCATCTCTAACAGCTACAGTACTGTACAATTTCCTGCTTTCAATATCTGTGCATGTTTTCTTCCTTATTTTTGCTCTCAATATTTTTCTTTTGCCTTTAATTTCGATGGCACATATTTCAGTACATCTTTTTACATATATAAAATGCTCATTCTTAATGGTTTATATCCTTTTAATATTAATACTGCACCTGGATCTTGAATTCAAGTGTTACACGATGTAATTAACTTCTAGAAAGTGGTGGACAGGTCTTGAAGCAATTTTAGTGCTAGCAAACCTCAATAGGCCATCGTAAATAGAAAATAATAGGGAGACTCCAGAGGCTCACTGAGATGGCAGACAAGGTTTTACACGCAGTGTAGCATTACAGGCCTGTCTTTTCTCTTCCCTGAGCCTGTGATTCCAATCTGTTCAATGAGGGTCACTAAGTATTGCATCTCGCTGACCAAATCATTTTAGGTCGGAATCTTTAAGAAGCCTCCGTAGCAGGATAAGCATTAGGCAAGCTAGGCGTCCACTCAATAAACCCGGAAGGAGCAGGGCGGGGCCTCCAGGTTCCCAGCCAAGCCCAAACAGGCATGGGGGAGGGGAGCACAAACTCCACTGTTTGGGTGGAGAAAGCAAAGGCCTCGCTGCGTTACACCTCCAGGCTTTCCTTGCTTCAGTTTCTGCCGCGGTCTTTGCAGAGTTGGGAGTCGTGACTCGGCACAGGTAGGTGCCGCCCCATGAGTCGCGGAAGAGTCCTGGGTGTGTGGGATGGATGGGTTTGCCAAGGCTCTCGTTTTTTGGGGCCTGGTGCAGTGGAGGCGGGCTGTTGTCACAGTTTGTGCCTTTTGCACGACAGGATCCATCTAGAGATCAGTGTAGGGCTAGATGGGCCTGACGCTAGGGAAGACCTGTAACAGGCTAGTGTGGGGACTGACATGCAGTGTACATTGTTTCAAGCACTGTCGGACTTTTCACTCCTGCATGCGTCACTCACTTGGTTTCTATATTTCATCTAGTCTGTACCCTCTCTGTGCCTCACTTTGCTCAGCCATGGAATAAAAGGATAAATCGTGTTTTACAAGAGTTTTGCAGCACTGATTTATTTCGTTCTCGTATCCACTGATACTCTGACCAGATTTTACCCTTTTTCTGTCCCTCCAGAGCAAGGCTGCATAGGAAGTGAAAGAGTAGGGAATAAGAATCTAGGCTAGGAAATCCTCTGCTGAGAAAACAACTCTGAAGAGCCTTTTAATGCTATTGCAAACAACACTTATTAAATTCTTTGATTGAATGTCAACTCTGAATAATGTTCTGAATGCTTTACAATTAAGGATTTTAACTAAAGAATTGCACAAATGTTCTGTGTTGAATGAACAAAGTACAGTATACAGTTAATAAATGTCTCATGATAAAAGAGTTGAGTCATTGTATAACTAATCACTGGAAAGAAAACTTGAGCTCTCATACTTAGAAATATGTCCATAATCCACTCTCAAACAGTGGTCTTATACAGTTGTTTCTTAGCTTGTTATTGATCTGTCAGTATACACTAGATTAAAAATTATGTACAGTTGGTTTTATATTAGTTAACTAAAGACACTATTTAAACAATATAAACCAACACTATAATGTTAACTTCAATTTCCAATTCTTCACTAAGTGCTAAGGATAATGACAACTATATAGTATACAAAGTACTTTTACAACAACCAAAAGAAGTCAATATGGCTTTACCACAATATTTAACACTATACTTTGTCTCATAACCAATATGATGAAAGGAATGTTCACTGCAGTGCTAGAGTCTGGGGCCTTCTTTAGTGCACCCCTCCTAGTTTTTTTTATTTCTTGGATGTGTGAGCTGGGACATACTGCTTTGATGTCTGTATCAGGAGCCACAAGTAGCTTGGTATCTCTGCCTGTCAACACAGAGAACAGTAGTGAACTATCCAAACTGTTCACTGAATCTCTAAGGTGTTCCTGTCAGCTGTTTTCTGCCTGCCAGAGATTAGGTGGGGTGGGGGTATGATCAGTAACCTCTTTGGTGGTACGAGTCTCTTCCTGCCTGGAGACAAACTGAACATAGATACACCAGTTGGGCAATGTCATCACCCTCTTTCAGTAACACCAAATATCTTCCATGATCATTTGGGCTGTTTATGAGCCTGTCATTGTCCTGTGTTGATTTTCAGGATTAGAGGTGGGAAGCCCAGCCTGTGCCACACTTGCAGGTTCTAGGCAAGGCGTACCTGACATAAACATGGGTGTTTCGGGGTGAGGGAGGGACCTGATGATTTCTCAAGTAGTCTGAGGGAAATTGTGCTGGACATCTGTTGAACAGACCTTTAGGGGTGAGTTTAGGACTGGTTGTTTGGCAGGATCTGGTGGCTGCTTTGTTTAGCCATGTTTTATAACCTGTTCATCTATCATTGTTCTCTTCCTCATACTTTTTCACTCTAATGACAATCAGTGAATGCCTTGTCTGTGCCATGATGCTGGTCCTCTCATTGCAATGGAGAGCACAGTGGAGCGCCACATGTTTGGGTGGACAATAGGAGTGCAACCTTAGGCATGGTCAGTAGAAGGTGTCTTCACTCTCCACCCCTCCCTGTATCTAAGTAGTATAAAGTCCTATCACTTCCACATCCTGAATATTTTAAAATATCATCCAGTCCTCAGCTCCCACTACTCCAAGTTTCAAGCCAGCAATCTTTGTGTTAATTTTTACTTTAAAATACCAAATAATTGCCTGACTCTCAGCCCTTACCGCCACCACTGCCATAACATCAGCCAACAGACTAATGACCTCTGTATGACCCCTAAAAATTATCAAGGGGAGGAGATTTCTCTTTTTTTTCCCCTTTGGGCCTTTGGTTCAAATTTTTTTAAATTGAGATAGCAGTTATACATCATAAAATGATCGTGTTTTAAGAGTGCACCACAAGGATGTTTAGTAAATTTACCAAGTGGTGCAACCATTCCTAAAACCCCTGCTAGACATTTCCAGTATCTCAATGCCATCTTCTTTGTCTATTTGCTGTCCATCCTTATTAACATGCCTGGAACAAGGCAACCCCTAATCTACTTTCTGTTTCTGTGGATTTACCTATTCTAGACATTTCATAGAAATAGAATCATACAATACGTGGCCTTTTGTGTCCAGGTTCTTTGGTGTGTGTTATAGCTGGAATCAGTACTTTATTTTTATGGATGACTAATACTCAAGTGTATGTAAGGACATTTTCTAATATATTCATCAGTTGACAGATATTTGGATTGTCTCCTCTTTTGTGATTATAATTCTATGAATGTGCACAGTTCTTTGGGAGGGCATATGTTTCCATTTTCTTGCATAGATAACTAGAAATTTAATTGCTTGGTCATATTATAACTCTATTATGTTTATTCATTTTTCAAACTGTCCTAAATGCTAATCCTTTATCAGATAAATGATTTGAAGATATTTTCTTCCAGTGTATGGCATTTTCATTTTGAATTTTTATGAAGCCTAGTTTATCTTTCTTCTTCTTTTTTTTTTTTTTTTGCTTAACTCAAGGTTAAGCAAAAATTGAAGGTTTTCTCCTGTTCTCGAAGTTTTAGACTGTTATCACTTTCATTTCTGTTTTGAATACATTTATAGTTATTTTTGTATAAGATAAATTTTAAATTCATCTTTTTTGTACATGATTATTTTATTTTCCCATCACCATTCATTGAAAAAAAAAGTTCTTTTTTCTACTGAATTGCCTTGGGTCCTTCTTTGAAAAGCACTTAAAGGTTTATGTGTCAACTTCATTTGTGTTCCATTAGTCTATAATCCTGCTCTTGTGCTAGTCCCGTACTATCTTGCATATTGGAATTTTGTTGTAAATATTTACATTGGAATTGTGGGTCCTTGAATTTTTTTTCAAACGTTTTTGTCTATCCTGAATTCTATTTTGAGCTGGTCTTATGTTCACTTTTGTAGCCGGCAGGCTGGTTGCCAACTCGCAGGAATCTTCTTGTCTCTCTGGGGCCACCATATCTGGTTCTGGGGCCATTCTGGAGCCAGCATGGCATGCCTGGGGTTCCGAGGTTCCAGGACTGAGAAGGCAAACCCAAGGTTCCAGGCCTGGCAAGGCATGCGGGGCTGGTGATCAAACTGGGGCCCACTGTGCTTGCCAGGTAGGTGCTTATGCCTCTGAGCTATCTCACCAGCCTGTAGCCTGAGTTCTTTACAGCTCCATGTAAATATTAGGTTCAATTTGTCAATTTCTATGAATTACCATGCTTTCATTTTGGTTGAAATTTTATTAAACACATTCATAAATTTTAGGAGAACTGCTATTTAAAAAATACTGAAGGGCTGGCCAGATAACTCAGCAGACTAAAGCACTTGCTTAGGCAGGCACAGTGATGGGAGTTCAATCTCTGGCATGCCGTGCCGGCCCTAACCTTGGGGTGCTAAGACGGCGAGTGAGACTGGGTGTGATGGCACAATTACTATGAGTCTGATCTGTGTAGTAAGACCTTGTAGACCCTGTATTAAATACATCCCCAAAAATTGAAATTTTCAATCCTGAACTTGAAATGCTTTTCCATTTATTGATCTTTGTTAATTTTTCTCAGTGTTTTTTTTTTTTTTTTTTTTTTTTTTTTTTTGTATTTTAGGGAAGGGTCTACAGGGTGTTCAGGGTCTCACTACTAGATTGAACTCGGAGTGACCCAACTGTTTACAACCTCCCAAGAGCTGGGATTACAGGCGTGCACCACCACTCCCAGTCTCAATTGCATCTCAGCATGCCCAGGGGGTGGAGCCAGCACGGCAGGCCCAGGGATCAAACCCCTGACCCCTGTGCTTGCTTGCAGGCGCTTTAATCTACTGAGCTGTTTGGCCGTCCCTTCTCAGCATTGTTTTGTAATTTTCAGTGTGGAAGACTTTCCCATCTTTTGTTAAATTTATTCGTAAATATTTTATTCTTTTTGCTGATATTATAAAATAGTTTTATGATCATATCTTGATTTCTCTTTCAAATTATAGAGAAGTACAAATGACTGTTGTATATGGATTTACATCTAGTGGCATTGCTGGATAGAATTATTGTTGATATAGTATTGTGGTGTGTGGTGGTATGCAGCAAAGACAGTGTTCTTTTTCTCCTTAATATAAGTATATTTTATTTCTTTTTCTTGCCTAATTCTTCCAGCTAGAGTCATTATAATGCTAAAATAATGCTAAATAGAGTGATAAGAATGAGCATCTTCCTTTTATTCTGGATCTTAGGGGAAAGCATTCAAATTTTCAACATTAAAAATTGTACAATTATGCTGTATATGGTTAGATTTCTAAATTTCAGTGTAAAAGTATGTAATTATTTATTCCTATTTTTAAAAATTTTTCTCTATATAAAATTTGTTTTTCTTAATATTCTGTGGGGACTGAAAGTTTAACATATCAATACTTCATGGAAAATACCTGTTCCATGCTATGTCTAATGTGTTTGATATTCAGACATATAGTGTGGTTAAACTCAACTGCATATGTTGTAGGGTAATAATAATAAGCTTCTTTTCTGCAGGGTTAGCGCTTAAGTGTGCAGACCAAAAATTATTGAAAAGGAAGGGCTGCAAGGACAGCCAACATTTTGGCCCTAGCCTTTCAAGGTCAGTGAGGACTCAGGACATATGAGACCTTGTTCTGTAACTTCACGTAAGTCACTAGTGTCCCAAATTTTCTGATCAAG